CCACTGAAGCAGTGACCCACAACTGGCTTGAGCTCGAGGTGAACAAGTACCGATCATGCGGATGGAAGCGAGACCTACGGCCCCAGATGAAGGCGGGGTTCACATGGCGCCCCCACGTCAATTTCGGCACGGCACTCACACGGATCTTGTCCCCCTGGGAGCTCCTCTATCGGGTCTACGGACAAAGTTCGCACGGCGTCGCTCCGCCCATCTCGGCACACCCAACACACGAATCGTGCCCCAGAGGGATGTCGTTTCACGTACGGCCTTAGTGTGGGGATTCGCATAACGTCACGTCCCCCCAACGCGTATGCCGACTGTCTCCTCACACGAATCGTATCAACAGGGAGCTCCACCGACGGTTCCATCCCGCCGCCCCGCCCATGGCAGTAAATACACCCCTGACCTGGATCGTGAGTTCGGGGCGTCTTGGGTGCTTCTGTGGGCCACGCGGCATGTTTCTGTGAGGCCTCTGAAGCCCTGAGATGGATCGTGAATCGGGAGCCTCTTGAAGCCTTTTCTGGGAGCCTCGTGCAGGACGTCGAAGCGAGAACTCCCATACGCTTACGGGTGACTACTGGGAAGCCTCCTGGGACCGTTTTGGGAGCGTTTTGGGAGTCTCTGGGGGCCTCTTGGGACCTTCTTGGGGGTCCTTTTGGGGCTCTTTGGAGCTCTTTGGGGCCCTCTTGGCCCGTCCTGGGGCCCTCTTGGACCGTCTTGGGCGCTTGGGCCGTCTTGGGGCCCTCTTGGGCCGTCGAAGGTGCCTTCTGTGGCCCTCTTGGGGCTCCCTGGGGACTCTTTTGGGAACCTCTGGGGACCGTCGTGGGCCGTCGGGGGGCTCTCATGGGCCGTGTTGGAGCTCTCTTGGGCCGTCTTGGGGCCCTCTTGGGGGCCTCTTGGGTCGTCTTACGGCCGTCTTGGGGGCCTTTGGGTCCGTCTTGGGCGCTGTTAGGACCGAAGAAGCGAATATGCTAAAAACGTACGTTTCCAAAAGGAACTTGGCTGTTTCTGCCTTTTGGTGACCTTCTGGGAGGCCTCTTGGGCCGTCTTGAGGGCATCTGAGGCCCAATATCCCGGAGGGCTCCTGGGAAGGGGGCACTACCTATGTACAAGGGTGGGGGGGCCCTGCGGGTCCCCAGGGTTGGATTCCCCCATAGATGTGTATGTATATATATATATATGTACTAGAACCATCGCGCGCGCTTCTCGCGCGCTCAAGTTCTAGCTAGGATAATCGTCATCGTCATCATCGCCATCCTCATCACCATCCTATCCGGCGTCATCGTCAGCGGCATCGTCATCGTCACCATGACCATCACCATCATCACAATCGTCACCATCACCACCATCAGCAGCAACATCGTCATCACCATCGTCATCATCGCCATCGTCGCCATCATCGTCAATATCGTCACCCGAATTCTTAACATTCTCATCCTCATCATCACCATCGTCATCATTATCGTCGTCGTCGTCGTGATCGTCGTCATCGTTATCGTCAGCATCATCGTCATCATCTTCATCATCCGCCCACTCCTGCATCACAAGCACCATAGACAGCATCGCCACCATTATTATCAGCATCGGCGTTATCATCCTGACCATCAGCAGCATCATCATAATGATCGTCAACGTCACCATCATCAACTGCATCACCGTCATCGTCATCATGATCGTCAACATCACCACCATCATCATCACCACCATCACTCACATCACGATCACCATCATCAACATCATCATCAGCATCATTATCATCGTCATTCCCACTGTCAGCATCATCATAATCTTCTTCCTCAGCATCATCATCATCATCATCATCAGCATCATCATCATCGTCGTCGCCAATTTCATAATAGTCGTCATCATCGTCATCATTGTCGTCACCGTCGTCTCCGAAGCTCCCCCGCCGAACTCGAGGATATCTCCGCAGCGTCTTGCATGCCGCGTGAGCAGTATTGGGGATTTAGGTTGTGGGCCTGAGGCCGCCCTGCATAATCATCATTGTCATTATCACCAGCGTCTGGAAGCCTTGCGGGGCCCTTTCGGCGCCTTTTGGAGGCCTCTTGGGGCTTCCTGGGGGCCTCTCGAGGCCTCTTGCGGACTCCTGGGGGCCTCTTGGGAGCTTCTGGTGGGCGAGGGTTCGAAATGTCAGTTCGTGTTCCCCATCTGGGGCTCCTCTTGGAGTGTTCTGGGAGCTCTTTTGGGCCGTCTTGGAAGCTTCCTGGGCCGTCTTGGGGCCCTCTTGGGCTGTCTCGGTGGTCTCTTGGGGGCCTCTGGGCTCGTCTTGAGGCGATCTTTCGGGCCTCTTGGGCCGCCTTGGAGCGTCTGGAAGCCGAACTGGGGAGAACGCCAAAACCCTTCAAAACCCACTAAAAATCAATGACAATTTCCTATTGGGCCCCTCCCGGGAGTGCTGTCGGAGACCTGCTGGGACGCTTTGGCAGCTTTTTAACCGTCTTGGAGTGCTCCCGGGCCGCTTCGGACCTCTCTTGGGCTGTCCTGAGGGCGTCCTGGAGCCATTTTAGAAGGTCCTGGGAACGTCCTGGCGTCTCCGGCGGGGGGTTGACCACAGCCACTGGGCAAAGTGAGGCCCCCCCCTGGTCCAGGACCCCCTCCCCCCACATATATATATATATATATATATATATATATAGAAACATACGTAAAACATGTAGGATTGTGCACACAGGAGAAGGACAATATATAGAAACATACGTACGTTGTCCAAGGCGCCTCGGAAAGCGCAGAATACTCCTCCAAGGCGCGGAATCATGTTCCCGGACCGCCTTCCGGGAACATGATGGGGACGACCTCCTGAGGGCCTCCAGTGGGCCTCTTGGGGGCCTCTCGGAGGCCTGTTGGGCTCTCCTGGAGGCGTCTTGGGGCGCGCTCATGGCAATTTTTGGGCATCTTGGGGGCCTCTGGGGGCCTCCGGGGAGGCTCTTGGGGGCCTCTTTGGGGCCTCGCGGGGCCCTCTTGGGAACCGCTGGGCTCGCTTAGGCAATCTTGAAGCCCTGTCGGGGCTCTCCTGGAACCGTCTTGGGCGGCTCCTGGGCCATCTTGGGGCTCTCCTGGGCCGTCTTGGGACGATTTTGGGGGTCTCTTGGGCCGTCTTGGGGCCGTCTTTTTTTTACACGCAAAGGCAAGGCGGGGTGCAGCAGCTACACTCTGGCTGATGGCGCAAGTACCACACAGCGTATAAGACAAAAAAATAGAAAGAATGAAAATTGCCACTGGCCGTCTACTTTACAGGCTGCCTGCCCGCTATGAGCTAAAACCATCGCGCGGATCGGACCCCGCGCAGCGGTGGAGAAAAAATGCAGAACGATTCGCCTAGTAACTTCGGATCGTGCATCCCTGCAACACACGTCGACTCTTGCGCGCCATCGGCAATGGCCAAGCTCACCGCACGCCGGCAGAGCGTCGGAAGCACGCTGCCGCTTGCATCGTGGACCACGTCCGCGGGCATGCAGGCAGCAAACCCGTCCGAGGGAGGGAAAACATGCCGCCGGTCTTCGTACCGAAGTGAGCCCCCGGGGCCTACAGTCGAGTTCCACTGGGGAGGTCACGCGAGAGCACACGAGACCCGAGGGCCACACTGCCACAGGAGTGCAGAAAGGCACGGCTCGCGAACCACAGAGCACAAGGGTACGCACCCTTGATTGCGCAGGGTCGACCTACTGATAAAGCTCTGGGGCCCGCTCCTCCTCCTCCTCCTGCTTCTCCTGCTACTCTTCATCATCATCATCTCGTCATCATCATCATCACCATCATCTCCTTAAAGTGGCAGTGGGCGGCGGCCCGCGGCTCTGCCCATCTGCCCAGGGCGGGCCGAATACCCGTGCTGCGCCACCCCAGCCTCGGGCACCGCGCGAGGCGTTGCAAACAACGAACGAAAAAACGACCACAAGCTGCGCGAAGTCACCGCAGTCTACTGGAGTCTACAGAGAGATCTTGGTGGAGGCGACTTGCACGTCGTTCAAGTCGGTCGAGCTGTCCAACGACGCTGCGTCGCGGAACTCGTCTCTCTCTCTCTCTCGGGCCTTCGCAAACTTCCGCTGCTTGTTGCGCCGCTGCGTCTTGGTCATTTCGCGGCGGGTGTCATCCGCCCACTCCTCCAGGGTCACAATGCCTGTCATTGAAATGGGCGGCGCCCCCTCCTCATGGGCGGCATCCACGCTGGCGGGGGTTGGCTCTCCCGACTCGAGCCGCACCTCCGCGTCGTGCCCTCCGTTGCTGCCGCTGGTCAGGTCCGACCTCGAGGAGGGGCGGTCGGAGGTGGGGTCCGACTTGGTGTCCCGCTGCACGGTGACGTGATCGATCCACGGCGACTCACAGTCCAGGAAGGTGTTCCTGGTCGTCAGGCCCAACGGCAACGCGCCCAGGAACTCGCCCGCCATGGACGGGAACCGCGACCCTCGGGCGGAGCACGTCTCTTGAGCCAAAATGGCTACGGACCGTCTTGGGGCGGTCTTGGGGGCCTCTTCGGCCGTCTTGGAACGGTTTTGGGAGACTCTTGGACGCTCTTGGAGCGTCGGAACCCCGAAAAAGCGAGAAGGCCAAAAACCTAGAAAAAAACAATACAAATCAACGATTTTGGCTTGTCGGGGCTCTCTTGGGAGGCCTCTTGGGATGCCTTCGGGGCCTCATGGAGCTCTCTTGGAACGTCTTCGGGCCTTCCTGGCCATTCCTGAGGCTATCTATGCGCGTCTTGGAGCGCTCGCGGGCCGTCTTGGGCGGTCTCGAACTGTTCCTGGCGGTCCCAGGGGCCCTCCGGGACGCTTCGGACGCTCCCGGGGACGCCCTGCACCCTCCATGGAGATTACTGGCAGCGCCCCGGGCCGCCCCCGGGCCCTACTCCGATACATATACATATAGCTATATATATATATATATATATATATATATATGTATGTGTGTGTGTATATATATATGCGCTGTCATGCCAGGTGCCCATGAGCAGCCACCGAAGTCAGGAGCGGCGGCGGCAGCCACGCCTGCGCCCGAGCGGTGCCGGCCCATCTCCTCTGTGCTGGCGCGGCCGCCGGGAGCCTCGGAGGCGCGCGCTGTTCTGGAGGGGGGCGGCACACGGGGAGAAGGAGGAAGGTGCACTGCTCGGGCCCCCAAAGCCCCCGTAGGGGCTCCAAAGGGCCCCTCTAGGGGCCCGCGCTGTCCCCCGCGCACTTATCGCCCCCCCACATTACGCGACTCAGCTACACGCAAGAGAGACCCTGTGTAAGAGTGACCTTTGGTACGCGGCTTCTTGGGGGCCGCGGAGTGGGCCAAACACAAGCGCGCGAGACGCTGAGATCGCATCGCGTTCGGCGATCGTGGGACCTCAGTGGGCCTGCACCAAAGGGCACTCTAGCGAACGGTCCCTCTTGCGTCTAGGAACGCGCAAATCCTCTCAAAAGCAATCCCAGGATCCCTCCAGGGGTCTATATGGTGTAATTTTTCACCCCAGATCGGTTTCTGACGGTCCCTGGTCCCAAAAGCGGCCCCGAACCCGAAACATATAACAATGAAAAACAATCATAATCCCGAACCCAGAACATCAATTCCTGCCCTCCCGCGCTCCCGCTCGCTGGAACCCGCGCCTGGCCACCTCCGACCCCAAGCCAGCAAGTGAACATCCGATGGATGCGCAACTTGCGAGGCATCTGCTCAGAGCCAGCCTCTGTCCACACGTGGCGCGGCGCCAACAAGCTGGCCGCGAGACCTCCGCCGGCCAGAAGCCGGCAGAGGCCGAGGCCGCGGCCTGGTGGAGGGACGCTGCGGCGCAGCACCCGACCGAACGGAGCCCACAAAGCACAGCCAGCACAAAAACCAACATGCCGACGCGCAACTTCACTGCAGGCCCGCAGCTGTCCTGGAGGCAGCGTGCGCGCCGCCGATGCACCGCAGAAGTGCCCATCCGCCAGCAACCTGGTGTCAGCCCACCCTCGATTGAGCAGGGACCGACCGTCCCGGCATTCCTATAGTCCTACCACGAAATGTTCTTAGAACCCAAAATTGTTCTAAGAACAGAAGCAATGTTCTTAGAACATAAACCCGATGTGATAAAACAGGACAGTCCCAGCCAGAAATGTTCTAAGAACATTTCGTGGGAACCACAAAAGGTTCTTAGAACATTGTTTGGTAGGGCTATAGGCGAGCCAGGACGCTTCGCCACTGCTTGACTCGATTTGAACAGAGTCGAGGACGGGATGGGCGGCCAAAGAGCTCGGAGCCCTCGCTTTTGACCTGGGCGCCACCCTCGGTGCACAACCCAACCGGCCGCTGGGTGGCCGAGCCGACGGGATGCTGCCGACCCCGGGGCTGGGCTGTCTCAGGCAGCCGACTCCGTGACTTTGGCTCACGGGGTGTCGGGTGCTCCTGGCGGGAGGGGGGGGGAGAAACGTGAAGGGAAAAGTCTGTGCTTCGGCGTCGCTGAATGGGGGTGCCATGGGTAGGAGGGGAGAAAGGTACTCTTTTCGGGCCCCACACGCCCCCTTTTGGACCCTAAATGGCGCCTCTAGGGGCCCTGAAGGGCCTCTTTTTCTGCAGCCCTCGCCGCCCCCTCCATCATGACCCTCCCCTACGCGAAGCCCAACTGTGCACATGTCGTGCTCCGTCCAGGTCTACGGTGGCAGCTAGGGAGCCGTTCGGAGCCACCGTCCCGCAACCGTCGATCGCACCCCACGCTTCTCGCCCCTCCCCGAGCCCTTCTTTGGCGCCCCCCTCCAAGGGGGCCGAGCATGATCAACAAACTTGCCGACTCAGTGACACGAGGATGCAGTGAAGCTGCTGCAATTAGTAAGACTCGGGTTCGGGGGACTCGGGTTGGCCTGACGGGGCCATCATGAAAATGTCGAGATCCAATCTCAAATTCGACGCGAGCTCCCGCTGCACACATCCCACGAAAACTGGACCGTCATCATCCAGGACGCGCTCGTCAAAGAAGCCGCTGTTTGTCGCCAGCGCAGCCGGAGGGCACGAGGGGGGCTAGAGGAGCAGCCACTGAATGACCCAAGAGGCAGCAAGCCCCTGCTGAAATCAAGGCGGTCCTATGTAATTCAGCGTGTTAGCTGTATCAGTGAGCGAGTCCGAGTGGCGTGGTGTCCTAAAGGCGTGGTGTGAAACCCGCACTCTGGGGGGCGGTCGAGGACCTCGGGGTTACCCGCCGCACCCCGAGGCGGCGCGACGAGGGCAACGTCGTGCCTCCCATGCCACCACCGACACAAATCGCAAACCACACCCTGGCGTTACCACACCCTGGGCGGTCACTGAGTCAGGGGCACTCCGCCGCCCACTGAAGCGGCCAACGCTGCCTCTCCCGGGGTGCCTCGCCTCCGCGCCCCTCCCAGTGCCCTGTGGGCAGCGGCGCCCGTGGGGGAGGCAGGAGGACTGGCAGGAGGAGGAGGAGGACATTCCTACCCTTCCACTTCAGCCTCCTCCTCCTCCTCCTCCTCCTCCTGTTCCACCTTATGCTGCCCCTCCACGATCCACTTGCTGCACCTCCGCTTCCTCCCGCTGTGACTCCACCTCCTCGACCTCGACCTCGACCTCTCCTTCTCCTCCTCCTCCTCCTCCTCCTCCTGTGTGTTTCCTCCTCCTCCTCCTCCTCCTCCTCCTCCTCCTCTTCCTCCTCCTGTGTGTTTCCTCCTCCTCCTCCTCCTCCTCCTCCTCCTCCTCCTCCTATTCCTCCTCCTCGATTTTTTCAGTATCCCTCTTCCGCCGCAACTTGTTTTTCCTCTTCCCCTTCCGCCCACCCGCAAAAATGACACCCTGGACTTGCACCACAACATGTTTCAAGGCCAGCACTTCAAGGCAAAACCCAGCTCCGCGGCGACAAGGTCTAAGGCCCACGCGGGTAACTAGCAACAGCCTCAGATGTCCTCCAACTCGTCCTCCCTCCTCGCTGTCCTCTGTCCACTCGGCGTTCCCCCCCCCCTCACCCCGCCCACGTTCCTTCCTCCTCCTTCTCTCCCTCCTTATCCTCCTCCTCCTCCTCCTCCTCCTTCTGCTCCTCAGCCTCCGCCTTCTCCATATCCCTCTCTCAAGTGAGTGCTGGTGGAGTGGGGGGGAATGGCGGGGGAACGCGCGTTTTCCAAATGAGGCAATTGGAGGCGAAAGCCAGTCTCACATTTGGTACGCTCCCATAGAAGAACAAGTCGAAGCGGGATTCCAAGAAGGCCACGAAGGCGGAGCGGGATTACAGGAGGCATAACCGTTCTCGCTCCAGCCATCCGCGGCTGGTGGACTGAAGGCTGAGGACATCGTCGACATCTACAACGACGACGGACACGAGGACCACCATGATGGCGACAGCGCGGCCGACGGCTGGGCGTGCTGGCATCGTGGCAAGGTGCCCGAGGACCCCTTCACGGACGTGGGTAGGCTGAACATGGAGGCCCTCGCGAAGACGGAGCGTGCGTGGGAGGCTCGCCTCTCCCTATGGTTTGGCGGCCGAATGCGGACACGGTTGTAGGCGTCATTGGCCCCAACAAGGAGGTGCTCCTCGACTCCGTCGGCGGCGGCGGCATCGGCAGCAAGATCGAGAAGGACAACAAGGAGGACGAGTTCGAGGGCGACGACGGGCGCTTCGAGGCGCTGACCGTGGCCCCCGACAGCGATGACATCTTCGTGGAGCTGGCGGCGGTGCCTCCGTTTCCCATGCTCGAGAGCGGGTACGGGGACTCCGAGGTGCAGGCCGCGAGCGCGGAGACGGAGCAGCTCGCGGAGGCGGACGAGCGCGACGAGATCTCCCTGCTCGTCAAGTCCTTGTTCGAGGAAACAAGGAAGCGGTCGTGGCCAAGGGCGTCGACTGCACGAGCTTCCTGGACTGGCTGCACGCGCAGCCCGAGTACCAGGGAGCGCTGAAGGCCCTCCTCGATGGCGGAAACTGACCTCGAGATCTGAAGGGCAAACCAAGGCGACACAGGGAATGTTGTCTTGTGTCGTGCGGCTCGAGGTGCAGGAAGTCTGAGGGGAGAGGTCGAGGTATTGTCAGGAAGCTCTACGAGTCCCCCGGCGGTAAGAAAGGTTGACGGTTTACCGCCGGCGCCCAGTATTGAGAGCTCGCCAGGGAAGCCTTCCAGCGTCTCCAGAGGGCGGCCACGCGAGGTGTCCAGCGCTTCCTGGCACCTTTGCATGCGACCCTGGGGCGAGGACCCAGGGTTGGCGCCGCGCGGCCCGGGGAGCGAGACCCCGGGCTGCGTGTGCTGAGTAAGGCGTTAATGGACTCGACCTCAGCAGGTCGTACCTCGTAGAGCTCTTCGGCATCGATGAGCTAGAGGAATTCCGGCGCGGGGTGGAGCTAGTTGCCCGACCTGGCCGGGGGGGGGCTTCTGACTGCAAGCCTGGGTCGTCCCCTCCTGGTCCCCTGGGGCCCTGGGGGCCGCGTTTCCTGGGGCTGGGGCGCCCGCTACCCTCCTGGTGGTGGGCTGGTTTTCGGCGCGTCTTCTGCGCCCTGCAGTCGGGAGTCGGCCTCAACTTGGCTGCCCTCCGCGCCCGCCGTGGCGAGCAAGGTCTTCGGGACCTTGAGATAGGCTCCAGCCTCATCCTCCTCCTCCTCTTCCTCCTCCTCCCCTTTTCTTCCCCACATGTCCGACTCCTCATATACCCATCCTACACTCTCACGCATTCCCCCCTCACCCGCTCCCCTACTCTCCTCCTCCACATCCTCCTCCTCTTCACCATCCACATCCTGCTCCACCTCCTACTCTGGCATCCCTCTCCCTCTCCCTCCCTCTCTCCGCCTCCCGTGCCACCCTTTGCTCAGTCTCCCTCTGTCCGCTCTTACTCCCCCGTCCTCCTCCTCCTCCTCCTCCTCCTCCTCCTCCAACTGACTCTCTTTCCCCCCGCTTCTTACTCGTCATCCCTCCCCTGTTTCAGGGGGAACAATGAGATGACCGACACCAGAGCCGGTACCTGCAGTGTCGGTTTGCTATACTTTCAAACAACGTACGTTAGCCAGCGTGGACCCCAAACAATGCAGTATTGCGTTGTGGAATTGGAAGCAATGCGGTGCAAGCTATGTG